CCATTCCTATGCAAAACTCTCTGAATGCTCCCCGACTGAGTGGTGTGTCCACATTTCCCCCATTCCAGGTCTAGGAGGGCAGAGCCCTGGGTCAGACCCCTGGGGGAAAAAGGAAAAAGGGCTCCTGCCGACGCGTGATTCACAGGAGCAAGAGGCTGCAAGGCTCGCACCTCCTGATTGGAGCAGACAGAATCAGACAAGCCTGGGGGCTGCTGATTGGCTCGCGCTCGGTCAGGCGCTGTTGGGCTGTTGTAAATGTAAATAGCTCTTGAAGGCCCGGGTCTGTGACCGGCAGTAACCCCGGGGAGAGTGGGTGGAGAAGGGGTGGAGAGGGAGGCCCTTCTTCTCCTTTCAAGTGGGCTACCAGCCAGGCCCAGACAGGCCCGCCCTTTGGCGGAGGGAACTGGGAGGACGAGACTAAAGGACTCTGTCTTCGGAGATCTTCAGCTTGAGCTGCGTTAAACGCCCACCCGCAGGGCTGAGCCAGGGCTGACAACTTCCGCCCTGAGCTGCTGCTTTTCTGTGCTGAGCTTTGACTGTTTGCGAGTTTAATGGGATGTTCTGTGTGAGCACAGAGGCGTTGGAAGTCGCTAGGATGGCTTTATGGGGTCACATTAATGGCTGTAGTGCGTGTACCATAGTGACCACAGGGAGGTGGCAGCCTGTCCGTGCCTGCCCCTGCTCACAGTACCCTATATGTGGAACGGGTAAGAGTGCAAGTTCTAGCCCGATAATAATCTTTCTTCTAGAGGTACAACTTCTACTCTTTACCCTGGTGGAGAGGAAAGTCTGTGGAGACTGGATTTCTTGGAAGTAGGGTGGAGGAAGGAGACAAATGGTACACGTTAAGAATAAAGGGTGACCCTCATACCTTGCTGGTAGGAATGTAAAACGGTGCAGCCACTGTGAAAAAGTTTGGTAGTTCTACAAAAAGTTAAACACAATTAGCATATGACCCAGAAACTCCACTCCTAGGCATATACCCAAATAAATTGTAAACAGGTACTCATGGCCTGGCCCAGTGGCTCACACCTGTAATCCTAGCACTTTGGGAGGCCAAGGCAGGAGGATCATTTGCGGTCAGGACCAGCCTGACCAAGAGTGAGACCCCATGTTTACAAAAAAGAAAAATTAGCCGGGCTTGGTGGCGTGGCCTGTAGTCCCAGCTACTAGGGAGGCTGAGACAGGCAGATTGCTTGAGCCCAGGAGTTTGAGGTCGCTGTGAACTATGATGTTGACCCTGCACTCTAGCCAGGGTGACAGAGCAAAACCTTTTTTCACAAAACACAACAAAACAAAAGGAAACAAAACAAACCCAGGTACTCAAATATTTGTATACAAATGTTCTTAGCGGCACCATTCACAATAGCAAAAAGGTGGAAACAACTCAAATGTTAATCAATAGATGAATCAATAAACCAACCTTGGTATATACATACAATGGAATATTAATTGGCAACAAAGAGGAATGAAGTACTGACACGTATACCTCGGGGATGAACATCGAAAGCATTACACGTGGGTCACATATTGTATCATTCTATTTATATGAAATAACCCAAATGGGTAAAAATCCATAGCTATAGAAAGCAGATTGGTGGTTGCCAGGGGCAGAGGTGTGGGAGTAGGTGTGGGTAGGGTTGGGGACAAGGAGACAATGGAGAACCACTGTTGAATGGGTATGGAATTTTCTCTTGGGGTGTTAAAAATGGTTTGGAACCAGAGGTGGTGGTTGCACGATATTGTGAATGCACTAAATGCCACAGAATTGTTCACTTTAAAATGGTTAGCTTTATGTTATATGACTTCCACCTCAATTAAAATGTACATATATATACCTGAAACAGATAAACTGATGGACTGAAAAGTGTGTCCTTCCTGCTGTCCAGAATTCTCTAAAAAAGGAATAAGAAATAGAATCAAGAGCAATTCTGGGTCCTCTGCTGCCTTTCATTTTCACTTTCCTCTCTGTTTTTCAAAGCCTAGCATGGGCCTGGCTACTCACTGCTCCCCATGGGAAGTGGCCGGGAGGAAGAGGGCCCCTTTTGCCCCTCTGAGACTGTCCTTGCCTGGGCGGAGAAGCACTGTGAGTCAGCACAGCACACACTGCGCCTTTGTGAGCGTTCTGAGGCTGGGGTGTAGTTGGCTGGGCAGACCCAGTGGGGGAAGGGCAGACCTGGGTCTGGGAAGTGGGAAGGCTTCTGCCTCCAGCAACCCCAGTATAGAATCTCAGCTCCTTGGAGTCTGCAATTAGGGCCTGTGGCATTTGCCCCAAGGTCAGTATACAAGAATCAGCTCTTCGCCTGCAGCACAGAAAGTTAACTACAGATTACAGAATGTGACTCCTACTCCCTGTGACATTTCATGTATTTTTGTAGCAGAGACAGAATTTAAAAGAAGACGTGAACTCTTTCTATCATTTCATCAAGTATTGACTGTTTCGGTGCCGGGAGCCATTTCTAAAAGAGGAAGATGCTCCTGAGAAGCTCAAAACCTTACAGGAGGGTGGAGTATGGTTTGGAAAAGTAGAGAGGAAATGTCAGGTACATGTCTATGGTTTGGGAGGAGAGCTTAAAACTCAGGTGTGGTTGAATGTTCAGATGGGTCATGAGGTGGAGTGAGTTGGGTTTTTCTGGAACAGCGGATGCATCTGCAGTTTAAGATGCATAAGTTAAGCTCCCTGCCATTGCCGCCCAGGGAGGATAGCTGCCCCACCAGGTATACACTCACCACCTCTGAGGATAACTGAATATCACCAGGCACATACTTGGATATGTGACAGACTGAAGCATATCTAATTTGTCATCTACTCCACACCCAGTACAGCCAGTAGGTAAGACCATAATTCTGGAGCCAGGTCATAGCATTATTATTCACTCTCTCACAGCGTTTTCTCCAGCAAACTCAATTACCTCATCAGCAAAATTTGGGTAATAATGGCACCTGCTTCTGATACAGTGAGATAATGTACCATCAAGCACTCAGTATGGTGCCTGGCTGTAGTAAATGTTGCTATTGTTATTATTTTTATATCCACAAGTCTGGTGGACTCAGAACTTGAATTTCCCACTCAAAAGGAAGCTAGATTTATGTTCATGCAGTGGCCTAAACCCCTTTAACTAATGTAGAACATGGTGTCTGGACTTTTCCAAGCAATTTGGTATAGCAAAATTGTCATCTTATACTCTCTAGTTTATAGCAGCTGTCTTTTCTCATGTGGCTGGTCTTTTTATTCCCTTGAAGTTTGAGACTAGCGAACACATCACTGTATAATTAAGAGAATATTGAGTGCTTCCTTTAATCAAATAATTTATTTTAATGAGTACTTCCTTAATAAGTTTGGGTTTGAATCTCAGCTACAACTACTAGTAAAAACATTAAAATAGAGGGCATTTTTTTCTTCATACAATTTTTTATTGAAATATAATTCATACACCATAACATCACCTTTTTAAAGTGTATAATTCAGTAGTTCTTCCTTTCCAGTCTGGATAGCTCTTATTTCTTTTTCTGCCTTGGCAGACATTTTTAGGAACTATCTTGGTTCTTTAGGGAAGAGGGAGAAAACAGGTGGCCACTGGACATTGGGAATTTTATTTCTGTGCTCTTCTCCATTATTATCTTAAACTATTTTTTGTGCTTTTCTCCCATGATTAAATCTTGATTCCTAAACAGAACCTTAACTTCTTTATACCTTCCCATATAAAACATGTCAAAAACAAAGTTTGTCACTTTGTCTCCTGGGAGCCCTTATTCTACAATTCACCCTTTCAGGAAGGCTCAACAGTTATTTGCTCTCTCAATCTTGAATCCAACTGAATATGTTGATCAGCGCTGTTCCTGCTCTATGATGTCTCCTCTTTCCTCTTCCTTTCTGGAACTTTTGCAGATAGGAATAAGAAAACTGCCCCAGGATGAAATAACATATATGCAAAATACAGATTTCCTGGAGGAAGCATAGGAAAGTGTATTTAATGAGAGGGAGCACAGCCACTTGTGAAATAGGAGGAAATAAATTAGAAAAGAGCATATAGTAAGGATAAATTGTTTAAATTGAATGCCAATTAATCAAAACAAAGCAGAGACTTGGAAGGAACAGTACTTTATAGGACAACTAAACAAAGTATTCTAGCCTGGACATTTTAAACAAAACTAAGAGGGAAAGGGGCTCATAGTAGAAAGCCACATATTGAGAAGAAAATGTCACCATCAACTTAAATTGCTAATATTATTTTTAATTATTATTGATTTTGAACACTCAGAATTACTCTGAGAGTCATGCTTCTTGTTCAATGTGAGGGCAACTTTAAATTAGAAAGCAAGGTGGACTGGCAGTGCTGGCCCTGGAGAGCTCTTAGAAGCTAGGTATTGGTCACAGTGGCTTCTGCTTGAATGTAAATCTGCTCTCTCTCTTTTCCACAAGAGGATTCTCAGATAAAGTCGTAAAAAGTAAAAGTAAAAAACAAGCCAGAACAAAAAATCACCCTGCAATCTTGAAGCTCTCTCTGCTCTAGGAATGAGGTTTGCCTTTCTTCCTACTGTTGTGCATCAGCATTCTCAGAGAGTCTTTTTATTCCCTGGAGACAACTATATTGCAGAAGCAGGAATGAGCTGAACTGCCCAGCCTGGGTTGGAAGCTAAGGATCTGCCTTTCCAAGGAGTGCTTCTCCTGCTGCTCTTTTCCTCTCCCAGTGTCTCTATCTTGGGTCCATGTGACTGACCATGTGAAACACGAGAGACCTGGCACTTCTCCAAGGCCGAGGTGCTGGCTGGTGGTGGTGTTTGCTTTAGTGGCAGATTCTTGGCTTCCTGCGGTCCTGTGTTTAACCTAAAGTTACCCTTAGGAAGGGCAGGGCGGGTTACCGGGCTATATGAGTCAACCATTGTAACTTCTACTTTGTTTGTACTCTTAAAGGTACAGGGCAGAGGTAGGGTGGACCATAGAGGTAAATCCCAGGAGACTTTGTGTCACAGCGAAAAAACTCCCAGACCCAGTGCTATCAGATTCACTTCACTTTTATTATGAACAAATACAATCTCAGATCAGTACAACTAGCTTCAGAGTTGATATTAATAGAAATTATTCCAAAATTATTCTTAGGTCACAAATAACTACTATCCCACATGAAAAGGGAAAAAATCCCACTCAATCAAGGAAAAGGTATCCTGTGTGTTTCCATGGCAATGAGCTTATGTGTTCTTAAATTGTGTCTGGCTAGTTATGCACCACTTATCCGTTGGATTCATTCAATCTCTCAGAGAACCGCATAGACTAATGATAGCATCCAGGACACATGGACACATTAAGTTCATGGTGGACGCTACTATTATACCTCTGCTGAAAGATCGCAAAATGCTTTGTAGAAAGCATTAGTCATGCCTCAAAACTGCCCTTTGAGGTAGGTCAGTATTATTATTCCCATTTTAACAGAAGGAAAACTGAGGCACATTATAGTTAAGTGACTTGCCCAGGGTCACATAGCAAGTCAGTGGCACAGTGGTAGGAGAGGCCCTGGCCTTAACCATCAGCGTGACATTTGCCACCTTGCTTTCTTAACCTTTCACGCTGACCTGTTTAAGCTACACTTACAGAGAATACACTCAAGATACTAGCAAATCAAGGAGAAAAATTTCCCTTTAAATGCTACAACCATCTTTTAATCTAAAAAAAAATATATAAACCAAATACATTGCAATTACTTCCACCCTCCATCAAATGTGGGCACTTAATAAAAGCAGCCCGAAGTGAAGTTTCCAAAATGAAGCCCAGAAGGAAATCCTGCAAATCGCTCTACTGATAATTCTCTAGCCAGACCCCTTTTCTACCAACCACTTCTGGTTTGCACCTGGCTCTCAGGTGCAAAGGGCCTCCACAGAGGGAGTGAGGGTGGCTCATATGCAACAATGATTAGAAAAGATGTAAGGCAACCAAATAAGTTGTCGGCACACCCAAAGCAAGCAAGGACTTAGAAATTTGGACTCTTGATCAGATCTGATTTTCCCATTAATGCATCACTTGAATAAGCTTCTGAATGTTGAAAATAGTGTTCCTTTCGCAGCAGACACACCCCCACCTACACACCCACACACCCACTGAGGCCCTCTGCCTGAGGTCTCCACCCAGCCTTGTGTGGGGTCATAGTATGGATCAGATCCAGGGAACACGATTACAATAGAAGGAAGTGAAAGCTGTTTTTATTGTTCATATATTATCAAGCAGGCATCTGATGACCTGTGGAATTAAAAGAACCCAACAGACATTTCCAAGGGGTAGGTGCGCAGGTCAGCAGATCTAAACTACAGTGATCTGCCATTAGATTCTTTCCTACTGAGATGAACAGCTCAAAAACGAGGATGCCTTTAGCCCAGGCTAACCCCTGTAGCCTCTATTGAATCAACACGGGAAGAAAGACCCTCCTCCCTTCCACCACTGGGGGCTCAACAGTGGGCGGAGCATCTGGTATTGTACATTTCCAATCTCATTAGAGCAAAGCCAGACTGAGGTACAGGGACAAGGCTAGTCCAAGTTTCTCAAAACATGGATGTTCTGTTTTTTTCCAGACTTCTACTATACTATTGTCTGCCCTAGGCTGTGTTGTAGGGAATGCTGGTTAGTTTGCTGAACAGAGACCATTCAGCAAAGTACATGGCATCTCAGATCCCAAGTCTCGGCCAAAGCTTTGCAACATACCCTGACTTCAGGGAACAGGGCCTCCTTTCGAAGTGAGGCACTTGGGTACTTGCCCTTGTTTCTTGTGCTTCCCAGGGAGGACTAGGTTTCCTCCTATTTCTACAAGCATTATACTGTCCTCTGGGAGCACTGACTCAGGTGGGGCAGCCTTACTGAGCAAGCAGGGAGCATTCAGCATGCTTTCTGGTTCTGATCCAGGCAGAGGGAACTGAAAACAAACCCTCTTTGCTCCATGGCTAGCTCACTGGCACAACACAAGCATTTGGCTTGGCCATGCCTCGTGAGAGAGCCTCTCTGAGTCAGGGATGTTGCTGGGAGGGTTTTGCCAGCCTTCTCTTGAGCCATCAGAGTGGTAGGAGAGCACAGGGGTTAGGTGGAGACACTCTGGAAGCCACATGAAAGTGGCAGCTAGCACTACTTTCTAAAGAGAAGCAGTGGTTCAGTGACCCTGAGCATTCTGTCTGCAGGAGAGGGAGCTGCCTGGACAGCAAGTTGTCACTGCCTCTGAATTCACATGAAGGAGGCTGCCTGTCCAGAGAAAGAAGAAAATGTCACAGGAGAGAGAACTGGTAGGAGAAAAGGGACAGATGGGATAGATCTGGCATCAAGAATCAGGGTAGTGAAGAGATTCCTAACCTTGCCCCCTAGGCAGCCCTATGCTTTAGGCTAGATGTTAACAGAGGAACAGAAGGGCACAACGTTGTGGGGAGAAGCCTTCTAGTTTTTACTCATTCCAAGGAGAAATTGGAACTAATGAATGAACCTAACATCTAGTTTGTTTTATTAAGATACCCAAGAACTTACTCAGTAACCTCCTGGATCCCCGGTGATGTGTTGTTCTCAGAGTCCTTCCTTTGTAAAGTTACCTTTTAGGAACTGCCTACAGACTTGCCCTCAATCTATCTATCCCCTGTCCAGCAGTGGGGGTGGGGGCTGGGGGGCGCGTTAATAGACAACGCGGCTAATTCCTCCTCTCCGAGTTCCTTCAAACATCCCTCTTTCAGAGCAAAATACTCTTAAGTGAAATATTTTAATGTTCTAAGCAAAGTATTCATGTATATATATGTCTATGTTTGGCGTAACTCCACCTCTGAAAATCCTTCCTTGTTCGGATGTTTGGAAATGCCACAACCTCTTATTACTGTGAGGGGAGCAACCCATATCCCGAAGATGGCAGAGCAGAAAGATGCAAGAATTGTGATGAGCAGCTCATGGAATCCTCAAATTCTACAAAGCTGCTGTATTCACCAATCGTGGAAACGCCCAACCTCAAGACTTCTTGATATGTCAACCAAGAAATCTCCTTGTGATTAAAGAAAAAAAATCCTTCCCAGCAGAGAAACTAAATGCTTCGTCTTTACCCTCAGCCTAAACTATATCGAGACATTGAGATTTGTTCTTGTGTTTTAGCATTGCCAAGCTCCACACCATTCGCTGCTCAATCAGGACAGAAAGGAAGCATGCTGCGTGGTGGGGCTTGGAGGCCTTGCTAGGTGGACAATGGCATGTCTAACCATGGCAAGAGCTTCCTCTTGCCTTATTTTCCCACCTCGTCCCCATAGTTCCTTACCAATCACACTGTGCATGCTAACTGTCTCCCTTGACAATTCACCTGCTTTAAAAGCTTTGTGCCAAATGAAGTTCTTTTTCCATTCCATCTAGCTAAAGCCTGGGCTGAAGATAATGAACAGAGAACTGCCCAGAAGATTTTGTTGTGTCTCCAGCTTGAGCTACCTACCTTAAAGCTCACAGCAGCTCAAGGAAAGAGAATTATCTGGGGCAGAGACCATTAGTTTAAGACTATGGAAAGGTTGTATAAGCTTTGGAAGCTGGACACTGACCAATGACTGACCAGCTGCTTGCCTGGGAGGCAATGAGGGAGAAGAGAAAGGAAGGTGATAGGAACAAAGGAAAGAGGACAATGGGACTAGAGGAGAGAGAATATAAAAGAAGAAATAAGAATATCAGCTTAGTATCATAAAGGCAGAGTTGTTGGCTTTCAATATTTTTGCATTTAAAAGAATACTGTACTGGAATGGGTTAACATCATCATCTTTAGCAACCTGGTAGCATTATTCAGTAGTTAATAAACAGAACATTAAACCTCTGCCTAGCTGGCTTTTGGAAAAGGAACCTGAGGGACCCAAAACTCAGCCACTCTTGAAGCTTTCATCTCCAGTTCTTTTAATCCTGGCCAAGATGGTGGCCTTGGATACTTTCTTCCGGTCATAGGCCAGGCCGAGGGCAGCCATGCAATCGATGAAGAAGGTGGTTATGTTGATGTGCCAGCGGTACTCGCTGGTGGAGTAGTCATGGGGGAAGGTGTGGTGGTAGTTGTGGAAGCCCTCGCCTGGAACAAAAGCAAGGAGAGAGTTATGGAGCAAGAGCAACAGTGATTGCCGTCTTCCTAATCTATGCACACTGGTTACTTAGCAGGGCACCTCAAACCTAGGAGAAACTTGATGCTATTGAATCAATGGCTGAATCCAGTGTCTTTCACTCTGAACCAAATAGATCTCCTCAGAGGCATCTTAAGAAATGACTGCAGAGAACCTGGTCACCCATTGCATCTGGGAGCCTTGTGGAAGGAGAACTGACAGTTTCTCTCAAAGGATATAATAATTAGAGGGAAGCTGCTACTGTCGGGAATGGGTCTTAGATTGGAACATTCTAGAGCTTGCCTAAATATTAGCCCTAGACTCTCAAGGCTCTGCGTGTATTTGTGTGTGTTTGTGCAGGGAGGGGAGAGCCCAGAATGCAAAATGTTCTACCTCAAAGGGTAAGAGGTTTCTACAGAGTGGGTGCAGCAGCCCAAAGTCAAAAGAAGAGGCCTAGCCCAGGGGCCAGAATGTCTCAGGCCACTGCAGTTCAGAATGGGCTGCTCTGCCTTCTAATTCTTTGAGCTTTGACCCTGGTGTGGGGGCAGTGCTCATAAAACAGAAGCTCTCCGAAGGAAAAGAATCAAAATGCTTAGATATTCCCTCTAACCTCCAAGATTCTGAGGACTCTTGGGACGAGCACTTCACTTTGCTGGAGAGAAGAAAACAAAGAAATTCTGGATTTAGGACAATTTGTGTAATGTGTAAAGCTTTGGAAACTCTACAGATAGAGAGTTTGCCAACTCTTGGCTGGACTCTTCTTTCTGAATGGCATCCAAAAATAATATTGACCCAAATCAGGCCGGAATAAAGAATACTAATAAAAGAGCTTGTTGGGCCCTTTATAGATAAAAATAACCCCAGATAGGGTAGTATTGATATTAATGACAAGCAAGTGAAGGAAGTACTGCAGAGTAAATGACACCATCCAGGGCACTTCAAGGTTATGTCCCCCATCTCTGTGACACTTCACCATCCAAGGTGCGAACTGAGTAGGAGGGTGGGATAACAACAAGGCAAAAGGCACTGATGGAGGACTATTAATCTCACAAATGGTTTTGCAGCTAGGCTCTGTGGTAAGCACTAGCCAAGCCTATATTTACCAGATTTAAAGTGGCATCAGACACACGGATAGATGCAGAGGGAAAAAAAGAGGAGGAGGGTCAATGGGTGGAAAGAGGACAAGACTTTGCCCTGGAGCAGCAAGGGACAGCCCAAGAAAGACACAGGGAGAAGGTGAGCTTTGGCAGAGAGAAGATGAGCTTATGACTATGGGGGAGGTAATTTAAGAAGCGAAATGATTAGAGTGGCAGGAAACAGAGCAGGAGGAGAACAAAGGGCAAGATGATAAGGGAGGAAGTCAGCAGGCACGGAGGAGTGGAGGATAACTGGGACAAGTCAGGTACTAGCAGCCACTCTGAATGGGTGGCCATAAAGAGGCTGGAGTTGGGAAGCCCACTTTAGATCCACTTGTGATACAGGACACATCTCATGCCAGAAAACTCCATTGTTGTGAAAATCTCAGATTTACACAGTGCACGTGATTTATTTCAATCATGGGTCAAAGTAAGAACATGTACAATGGTAGAAGGTGCCTGAAAGGAGCGGGGAGAGGCACAAAAGTTAAAAAGAGAGGGAAAAAATGCTTTTCATAAAGATAGTAAAGATTGTCAGGATTGAGAATATAAAGGAAGATTTTAAGGAGGAAAAAAAAGAGTGTTAGGTAATGACATGCATAGGCGTGTGGAGCAGTGTGGTTGCCTAGGTGTTAGGGCATGGCCACTAGCACTGAACATTAGTGCAGAGTACAGGCCACTGGGTCCACTTAAAATAAAGCCACTTGAGGCCATTGTCAAAGTTTATATTCAGTTGGAAAGAGGGACAGAAAAAAAAATGGAAACAGATGGTAGAACACCATTGTCTTAGACTCTGGTAATTGGGGCTGCAATTATAGAGAGAAATAAATTCAGGAATAGTCAACATTAGATCAGTGAGCAGGAACTTGTGATCAAACTAATTACTTTATCAGGCTATTCCCTAAACTGTGTCGGGGGAAGGGATCTTTCTAGCACAGAACAGAAGTAGAAGAGATAAAACTAAAGGACAAGAGGCAAGGTGGTAGGTAGTGGTAAACAGCCGCCAGCACCAGTGGCTTTGGTGCCCTTCATATTGACATCCCCAAACAGCGAGGCATGACACACACTTAAGAGTATGGCATACCTGAATATAGTGGGGAGATAAAAATTAGTGTGGCAATACTTAAGTTTATTGAAGTAAATTATAATTATTTATTCTACATTTTATATAGCATACTAGGATTACTGGCCACTCAGATGACCCTATTGTTCTATTTATGCATTTTCTGCCCCAAGCAAGACAGCAGTGCAGCCCAGGTGACCGGGAAAAGGAAAAGTCAGAGGGGCTTATCATATACAGCCTTGGGAGATTGTTTTGGAAGTGGGAATTAAAAGCAGTGTTATTTTTTTCCCCAAAACTTGTTGCCTGACTCTCATACAAAGGTTTTCCAATATATTGCCCCTAATTTTATAGTGGAAAAACTGAGATGCAGAGTGGTCATAAAAACAGGTTAATCTGGTTTTTCTGGCTCCTAGCCTCATACCCAAGTCAGCAGACCACTAGATGTGGTCCTGCTGTGGACGGACAACTTACCCACAGCTCCCAGGGACACCAGGATATTTTCCCGGGGGTTAATGTTCTTGTCATAAGGGCGATATCCGTAGAGGTGGGCGGCGCTGTTCACCAGCCAGGTGGCATTGAGTACTACACTGTAACGCAGGAACGTGGCAACGAAAGTGCTGTGCAGAAAGGTTTCGCCCCAGAAATACCAGGGCACCCATGTGGGCAGGAGGAAGCACATAAACACAACGGCGGGCTTGTAGTACCTGCATGGGGGGCCAGACATCGAGTCAGTGGACAGAGGGCTCTTACACCTACCTGCGCTTCCACTCACGCTGGGTTGGGCTGTCTCCATCCCCCTCTGTTCTGAGTACAGCATGGCAGAAAACGGCAAGAGGGAAATCTTTTGATGATATCATGTTATTATCTCACTTTTTAGGTGAGACAACGAGGAGGGATTAAATGACTTTTCTAGAATGACATCACTGGGCACCAGTGGAGCAAGGACTGAATGCTTGTCTCCTGCCTCTAAGGCCATCACTGTTTTTCACTAGTGCATAATGCCGGGTGGTAACATAGGTGAGGTCCAAATTACAAACAAAGAGAGTTCTCCAGCCTAGGCTGTTTTTCCTTTCTGCTTTGGAGCTCCTTTCTCTTTCTCATCAGCACTCTTGTGCAGTCTCTGTTTAGTGTTATGCCTCCATTTTCTGCTCGCCACTCTCTAATTCTTTGCTCCTCTTTTCCTGCAGAGAGGCACACTGAGTTGTCCTTGATTACTGGCAGGTGTCTGTCCTTCTGGAGGCCCTTTCTCAATCTTCATTCTCAATGCAGACCAGGCCATTGACATGCCAAGGGAGTGATTCCCTATGTCCCTTCAGCAGTCAAGTCTTGACTTTTTTGTAACTGATATTCCTTCCCTGTATCTTGCTCCTTTCCATTCCTGCAACTTCTCCCCTAGCATGGATCCTCATTACCTCCTAACCTGTGTCCCTGCCCCTCATCTCTTTGGCTCAATGGTTTCTTTCACCTGTCTGGAGAACAGCCTTTTTAAAGCATTGCCACATTGCTGCTCAAAAAACATAATGGTTTACTTTTTTTTTTTTGAAGACAGAGTCTCGCTCTGTTGCCCAGGCTATTGGGCAACAGAGTATCAGCTTAGGGTATCAGCCTAGCTCACAGCAACCTCAAACTCCTGGGTTTAAAGCAATCCTTCTGCCTCAGGCTCCTGAGTTGCTGGGACTACAGGCATGTGCCACCATGCCCGGCTAATTTTTTTCTATATGTTTTTTTTTAGTTGTCCAGCTAATTTCTTTCTTTTTTTTTTTTTTTTTAGTAGAGATGAGGTCTCACTCTTGCTTAGGCTGGTCTCGATCTCCTGACCTCGAGTGATCCTCCTGCCTCGGCCTCCCAGAGTGTTAGGATTACAGGCATGAGCCACTGCACCCGGCCCATAATGGTTTCCTATCGCCTATTGAATTAAATCCTAAATCTGCTTTTAGGACTCTACAAGAACAGCATCAGTCTCTCTTTCCAGTCTCACTTCCTCCCCCACTCTATACTTCAAGCAAAATGACTCTTTTCCTGGAACATGCTTTATGCTTTAGCTCATTCTGTTCTTTCTGTTTGCACTGTCCCTCCCCACACATACTTGTGAAAATCTCTATCCATTGGTGAATTCCAGTGCCACATTTTTCATAAACACTGAGCACTTCCCACTGAGCAATCTCCCTTCCCCTTGAACAGAAAATATTCTGCCTATATCAGGGTTATTTGGGTACTTGGCTTATAACTTCCACCCTCCAATAGGCTACAAACTCCTTGAAGGTAAGAACTAGGCTATGTTCATCTTTGTATCCATGACTGTCCCAAGTCAATAAATATTTGTTGAATTTAATTGGTTTAACTAAGATAGCTCAGAGAGAAAGAAACAGGGCAATAGTCTATGACTGTGGGCAGGTGGGATGTTAAAAATTGGGGTTTTAAATTATGATTTTAAACATGCAAACCCAGTAAATTTCTCAGCTTATATTTTATAAGTACTAAGAGAAAAAAAGGAGTCCCCAGACACCAGGTGCCAGGACCGTATCCCCAAGTCTATCATCGCTTCACTTACTTCCTCTGGAACATCACCAATTTGTCGGCTCTTAGGTCAGACAAGTCCAGCGTACCGCCCTTCTTCATGACGGCTGGGTGTTTGCGCACAAGCAGCCAACCCACGTGAGAGAAGAAAAAGCCACGTCGGGAATTATGAGGATCAGCATTTGTTTCTGCAAACTTGTGGTGGGCTCGGTGATCGCGGGCCCATTCGAAAACATCATTCTGGAGGGACAGAGAAGAGGAATACAGGCCTGAGGAGAGACACCCTCTTAGGAGAATTCCAAAGAATTGGAATGTCTTCAAGAGCCCACAGCTTTCCACTAAACCTCATGAAATACCCAGGAATCCAAAGGGGTTGCCTCCCCTCTTCTCCCAGCTTACCACTAAAGCTTGAGTAGAAAAGCAACTTCAGGTCCCAGGGCCACATGAACAGGACTGCTGCCGCTTGTTATATGTGGGTAGAATGCAGGTAAACCACATGGAGCTCAGATAGTTTCATTACGCAAGAACATTGCAACTCTTCAAGCAAGGGATGTTGGAAAAGGTCTACACAGGGTGTCTGATCTGGGGCATGGAGACTATCAGGCAAGCAGCCCTGTGTCCTAGGGTCCTGGGCAGTGGATAGGCTGCGGGAGCTCCATCCTGATGCCTTGGCACGAGGCAACTCACATAATCCCACAAGGCCAGGCATGTAACTCATGGTCAGGGCCACATTTCCAAATGACCCTTGGGCTTCCCTGTGACTCTTTCCATCCCCTAAAGAATATACCAATATTTCTCTTCCTCTTTGCCCCACAGGGACATCAGGAGCCTTCAAGGCATAAATTGTTACAGCAGAGATTATGCAAATGTGGGAAGTACCTGGGATATTGCCTAATATGACTAATTTGGTTTCCTTTCTTCCTCTGGCTCCAAGCTAAGCCTCACATCACATGCTATCCTTTGCCTTGCTACAGTAATAGCTGTGAGAGTTCCCTTTCTCCAACTCCCTTCATTCTGTCTCCACTTTAATTTTTTGCCTGAACAAATCTCAATATTTGATTTTGCCAGCATGGCAGCCTCAGATAGGACCACAGTGTTGGGCTGGTCTATCTAACCTCTCAGTGACTCGGTTTTCTCATCTGTAAAATGGGGATAATAATAGTACCAATCTCCTAAGATTGTTGTGAGGATTTTATGGATTAATCTACATCAGGTGCTTAGTATGGTGCCAGGCAACTAGTCAGTGCTATGAAAGTGTTTGTTCTTATTATCTGAAAACAACAGAATTCATGAGTCTGTGAAACATCAGCTTCACTCTCATTGTGGTGGAGTCCTGAGATATTCACCTTAAATAGTGAATTTATTGTCCAAAGTCTGCCCAGGAAACCAGGGTCAGTCCCTGGCTTATGTGCCATCACTCTTTATGATGAGGGACAACAGCCAGATGGTGTCATAACACAGGGATCTTAGTATCAAAAATAATCCTGCATACCATGACTATTTCCTATTTACTCCTCATTTCCCTTTTCCAGAAGTCTCCTCAGCTTTATAGACTTAAGAATTGAGTCTGCACTTGAGGTGACCACAGGAGAGAGCAAGCAAAGGGAAGTGGCTGTGCAGGTGTGGCTTCTCTCTGAGTACCGATCCCCTCCGTTCTGCCCCCAGATCATCCAGAGGGTGGAGAAAAATGAGCCCAGCAGAGCCTCTTACCTGGAACGCCATGGTGTTGGCAATGATCAGGAAGAGCCGCAGGGGCAGCCGGGCTTTGTAACTTCGGTGGCTCCATAGGCGATGGGCTCCTGCTGTTATGCCCAGAGCACTGATGAAATAGTAGAATAATCCTGCCAGGAGAAGACGACAGCAGGGGAGTCACCAACCCGTGTGAGCGCCATCTGGGGAAGCATGTCGGGCATAGTCTCCTGATGCCAGAGGCTATGTCTTCTGTAGGTTTCGGGTGAGGATCTGCTTTACCCTGATCTCTAGGGATACCTTGGTCTCCTGGATTTTACCACTTGAAAAATACCATTACCTCCCAGCCTCTCAACCTAGGAATTGAGATAAGCTAAGGAGCCCCATGAACTAACGAGTCAGAAAGGCAGGAGAGAGAATAAGGCTCTTACCATTCAGCCACTTGCCATTCTCAGTCTGCAGGGGTGTTTTCCCAGGACCTGTTACCTTTGACCATTAGCTAATTTTCGCTAAGGTTTTAAGAGCTACAAACTACTCTTTCAGAGCTTAGGGTCCCTAAACAAAGGTGTTATAACAGCCAATAAAATCTGGGCACTGACCAATTTGAGGAGCCCTGGGTTGTAGAGGGGACTCAGAGTTATGGCTCTTTACTAACTGGCACAAAAGTATTTTGATATTTTAGGCAGCAGTACAGACATATCAGGAAAAAATCAGCCCTGCACATAAGTCATATTTGCACAGTGTCTTAAGCTTTACTAACGATTTTAATATTCTTGAATTCACTGGATACTTTAAATGGGGTAGGTGGTACTAACTAATAGCCTCACTTTGCAGTTGAAGAAATAGACTCTCAGAGAGGTTAAGCATTTATCTTGGCTAGGTCACATGGCCAGTAAGAAATGGAGCCACGGTTTGAAGCTAGGTTTTCTGTCAATAAGCAGTTCATGTCCCAGCTATATCTTCCACCTCCCCAACATATATGCACAGTTCCTGTGTCTCTCAGCCCATAATCTCACTAGGAAATGCTAATTCTAGACAATGGTGGGATATGTTTGAAGCCATCAGTGCCGCACCCCAACATTTTTCTGCCTCACTTTCTTGAACCCCTGCAGGCTCAGGAGGTGCCAGATATAATCTCTAACTGGGAAGCCATTTTCTGGGTGTACCCATCTCTTCCTCTGTCCCCGTAGCTCTAGCAGGCAGGGGCTGAGGCCTTGGTACAAATTGTTAACAATGTTTCATTCCTAGGGAAACAGTTAGAAACAATGGATCCTCAGTGGCCAGAGAACTTAGTTGCAGTTGGAGACACCACACATTGTACAAATTGTCCTGTGTTCTTTTGTAGCCACAGACAGCAGTTTCCTAAACAGCCTCCTCTTTTCCCCTACCCTACCTCCTTCACCCTATCCTGTTCCTCCTACAGGATCTCCAGGGGAAGCCACAGAGCCAGAGTCTGTCCCAAGGAAAGGAAAGTTCTATCCACATGCCTCAGAAAAGGAATTAAGGCTCCAGGTAACCTGCAGGACTCAAGCCAGGTGGTGATTGATATCTTCCCAGATACAGTATCTGACTGCATTTTACCTGGAAAAACACAGTTGGGGCAGAGCCCTCCAATCACCGAGGAGGAAGAAAAATGGCTTTGGGCATGAAAGCAGAAGCACTCAGGTAAGAACCAAGGAAGCTTCTGGGGTTATTTCATGCCACAGAATACCCTGGGGCAAGTTGACTCAGTAAGTATGTAAGAGCCCATATTAACAGGGAAATTGGGAAAACAACCCAGGCATTCTCCTGCCTTTTCTATAAATACCTCAAAGTCAAATAGAAGGGCTTAAGTCAATTGGAGATTCATTCCCACTCTGTTCCCCAGGAGAAGATTACCCAAATTGACGGTTACCTAACATCTCTTAGCTTTAGCCCTAAGAAAGAAAGTTGAAGGATTTTGCCCTCATTGCTGCCAGAGATTTCTCTTCAGCCCTATCTTAAGGGCTCTTCTGAGAGGCTCCACAAAGAAAGATATGAGGCTCTCAAAATTGCTCAGAGTCATAAGAAATGCTGAACTCACATCCAGTTGTTAATTTAACTTTGTCCTTAGGGATTAAAACAAGAAAAGGAAGTCAAGCCCCTAAACTCTGAAGGTGGCAAGAGAAGATGCCCAAGTTGAGACCTCTGACCTTCCTTCTCCCCAGCCTCCTTGTTCCATAAGACAGAAGAGTTGTGACATCCCTCTATCAAGATAGTTATTCCATCGGCCAAGCCATCCACCAAAAGGCCCAGGGCCAGGAGTAAAGTAAGTCACCATCTAGTCTCCCTGCCATGTTTCTCTGTCCAAAGGCACAGCACACACCCATGGGCAGGGCACCAAAAGGTAGGGCGCACAGACTTGGCTTTGGGATAGCATTCTGCTGCCTGTGCTAGTAGCCGAGGGTTCCCAAGCAGAGGCAGTCTGGTCAAACTCTGAACTGAAGGAGACCTACAGGGAGTGCTGGCACTGGAAGGGGCTTGCAGGGGACAAAACAGCTTGTGAAGGCTCCCTGCTTTGGGGAGAGGGGGTGCAGAGGGGTCTGCAGTCTCCCTGGGGAATCCCACCCCTACTCTTGATTTCTCATGCTGCAACTGAAGTTCTGCTGGGTTTTCAGAGGTGCTAGAGAATAGCTGTCTTCCTCTCCTCACAAATATAGGAGCTCTTCCTTGTCTACAGATGAACTGACTTTCCACACTGGCCTGCTCTTGCTATCTGCCTCTGCCACAGCTATGACACACAGGCAGCCTAAGGAATGTGACCTACCTAATCCTAAAAACGTAAAGCTGTTGCTCCTAGCTGGTATTTGGAAAAACGGATTCCTAGAGAGGGCTCTTCTCGGTTGTATTTCACTGTGACATCTGAAGGATTTCCCAAGACAAAGGTCAGATCTCACCACCTTTAGAAGACCGAAGGGGGCCTGAGGGAAATAGCTAAAACTCGGCCTACGAGTCCCTCCACATAACTACCAGCCAAGAGTGTAGCCCACACGAGATTGCTCTGGAAATCCTCAGTTTGTTTTCGAGAGAGAGAGTCCTGGCTCGCCACCCCTCAGAGAGAAGCAATGTGGGGCCCCTGGATCTGCAGAGCTCCCTCTGTCCCCTCCCAATACAGGCTGTGGTGGCAGAGGTGAAAATGCCTGCAGAGCTTATGTGTGCGTATGGGGGGCAGGGCCCTGCTATCAGCTCACACAGATGGATCCCTGAAAGAGCTGAGCTCAGGGGAGGTCAAGGACTAATGGGACTGTCTCCCTCATTACAGCAGCCTCAAGGCCAGTGCTGCTCAGGGCTCTCTTTTCTGGCAAGGAGGGATGGGCAGAAGCCAGAGAGGGCTGGTGTGAGAAGGTGCTGGGTCCTTGGCACTTTATGGCATCAGGAGAGAGGAGGCTGGAGCAGGCTGGATGGGGATGGAGCATAAAACATTTCATCCTAAGAACATTGTTGACTGGCATGAGCACACCCTGGAGACCTACATGGAGTAACAGAGCAACACACATGTGTAACCTGAGTTATACAGGAGCCTTCATCTTCCTCTGCAGCAAAGGAGCCTGGGCTAGCCAAGCAGCTTTGTGGATAACCACCTCTGTTCCTCCCTTTTCAATTAACTCTTCCTGAGCAGTTTGCCCCTTGCTCTATCTCATGAGGGCTCAACATATACCCTATTAAGCCTCTGATCTAGTGCCATGTTCCCATGCCTCCCAGGTAGGGGGCTTGATTCTTTGGCAGGGCTGGCACAGACAGCCAAGCAAATGACTCAAACAGAAGAGCTCCTTTAGGGAAAGCTGAGTCTCAGGCACAAATCTACACTTTGAAGCCCACAGCACATAGTCTCAGGGCTCCCTCCTCAAACCCCAGAGCTGACACTGCCCAGAATCCCAGCGCCCCTACACTCTGTCCCTGCTGTCAGCCTCTCAGGCTACCAAAGAGAAATGGCTGGGAGGGGCGGGTGCTCCATGTAAGATCCTACCTTATTGAGAGAGCAGTGAGAAACCTGGGGTACGGGGTTGGGAGGACAAGGAGTCTGCTTACCCCACAGCCAGGTGTACAATTTGCAGGTGGGGATCAATGTGATCCCATACAGGGCTCCCACGTGTAAAAGAAACATAAGGATGATGTTTCTCCAGACATATTCAACCTTGGGTCTTGGACCCTCCTCATCCTGGTAGGTTGGGTCATATATATCATCTTTAAAATCAGGGTGGATGTCTTCTTCCAAGTAGAGGGACGACTTCTCCAACTTGCCTCCTCCATTCTGCAGGACCCTGGAGGGAGGCGCTGTGATGGTGGTGGTGGTGGTGTAGGATCTAGAGATCTGGGAGGGGGAGGAAGTGGAGAGTCAGGAGAGAGGAGACACGTGGAGGCAACAGGAGCCACTTCACTCCCTAATCAAGCCCTGGGAAGGGCGGACAGTACAGGCACGGACACTGCTCCAATGCCCTGATTCACTGAGGGGAGGGTGGACCCGAGATGGAAGGAGAAGTCCCCAGAAACTGCGCGGATAGATTGGGGGGCAAACCTAAGGGAAAGGGGCAGTAGGAAGGAAGGTGAAACACTCGCAGCCTTACGGACACAAAGGAAACCGCACACATTGCAAAAGGTACTGGCACCGCCACATTTCTCCTTACTGCAAAGCTTAAGAAACAAAAGTTGCGGAATCAAGTCCTCCAACTGCTATCCACATTCTCAACAAATTGAAGGCAGTACAACTCCAAAAAGATGGCCAAGTCCTTCCCGAAGCTCTCAACTCTCTCCCCTACCAACCAGTCACCTAGAAGCCCAACCCGCGCCGGCGAACCCGCGGTGCAGGGGCCATCGCTTGGAAGCTCACCTCCTCTTGCAGCATGTGGGCCGGCATCTTGGATCTCGGATGCCGGGATCACTTTCCCAGGACTGAGGCTGCCGAGCGGAGTTCGGCACCGCGGGGACAGAGGGTGGACTTCTGCTCCGGAGCCCGCTAGTGCGCAGCGATCGGTGGCTCTGCGCCGTGCACGCCGGGTGGGTGTCCGGGCCCTACCCGCTGTGCGTGGATCTCCCCGAGCTGGGGATTTAAAGGCTAGAGCTGGCAGTGGGTGACTGTGTCCCGTATTTCCTCAGACGCCTTTTATCCGCTGCCAGCAAGGGGCAAAGTGCGCAGAGTTGGCTGGCCCAGGCAGCCCCGCGTGGAGGTGAGGGCGGGAGAGGGGAGGAGACAGAAAGCCCAGGCTTGCAGCGATGAGAGCCCGGGCGCCGGGATGCTGCGGACAACACCGCGCCGCCGCTGCCTCTGCCGCTGCCCCTGCCCCTGCCCCTGGGGAAATGCTAATGAGGCTTCTGTAAACTCTGGCGCGTCATTGGCCGAAGGGAATTTGGTGCCACCTCGTCCTGCCGTTGCCATTGGCTCGGCGCAATCTGCTGTTCCCTCTGCCGCGAGCTCCTCGCTCCCCCTCCCCTCGCTTTCTCCTCGGCTTCTCTTCCCCGGGCCGCCCTACGTGAGACGGAGCGGACGGGGTCTGGGATTGGGGGGTGGCTCCAAGCCCAGGATGGCCTGGGGCACAGGGCGAATGTGTGGGCACTGGGGCAGTTTCACAGGAAACGGTGGGGCAGCCACGGTGGCGCCCCCTCCTCACAACTCCTTCCCGCATTCCCGGCCCCCCCAGGCGCGCGGGAAGGCAGACGTAGCTCCCCCGGGGTCGCGCGCTCTGGGGCTGGGGGATGCCCCGCCTCCCTGTCCCGCGAGCGCGGGGGGGCTCTGTCCGCGGGCGAACAATGGCTCTGCCCCGCCCACCAGCTACGCGACGCTCCCTCAGCCCGCACTGAACTCAGGCCGGATCTGCAGACACCCGGACACACATATATGTGTGCCTGCGCACGCACCGTGGCCCCCGCTGGGTATGCTCGGCAGGGGACGTCCACCGCCAGCACCAGTGGGCCGTCCTGTCCCTGTGCCCATGCCTCTAGAACGCGTACGGGACATTTTGGAGATTCTTCAGTTTGTCAGGTTGTAATTTTGAAATTCTTCATGGAAAAAAGCAGGAAGCACAGACTTGTGCTTCCACCCAGGAGCAGGCAAAAGGACTGGTAGGTGGAAAAGGATAGTTAGCAGGTATTGAATTGTTACTGCCAGCCAATTCACAAGAATCATTTAATCCTCACTGTGACCTTATGAAGTGGGTACTCCACTATTCCACTTTAAAGATAAGGAAAGTGAGATATGGAGAGGTGAAATAACTTGCCTATGGTCACAGCAGACGGTAAGTGGTGGAGCTAGGAATTGCCCAGAAATGTAATACAAGAGCCGGCGCTCTTACGCCCTGCTCAGACCTACATGGCCCTAGTCCCTGAGATGCTCTGATATCTCTGACCTGTCTCTCATGCCCCTGTCTTTTCTGGGCCTGTGGGAGCCTCACCAGGACAGCCCAGAACCAGGCAGCCTCTGTATTCACCCATTCTCCTTCCATGCGTGTCTCCCCAAATACTGTCCCAGGATCCTTTCTCTGGGAAGAGGACAAAGTAAGGAGTTCTGTGCCACCCATCTGCTTCTCAGGAAGAGAGACATTTGGGATTGCCTGGCAGGAGGACTAAGCAGCTCCCTTGTTGGCCATTGGTCTCGGGGTCAGGCCAGCTCCTTGGCCAGTGACCAGATGTCTTTATTCCTGTCCTGGCTCCCTGTCCAGTGTGAAAGTTCTGAATGGGACTAGATGTTTTCAGATATGGACAGCTCATCTAGGCATGGCTCAGAAGTGCTTGGCGTGTGGACTAGAAGCCTAGACACATGCTGCTCCCCTTCAGCTTCTCTCTGCAATGTCTGTTTCTTTACCAACTGCAGGGTTTACTCTTTGTCTTAGTCCTTTTGGCTGCTATAACAAACTACCATAGATTGGGTGGCTTTTATAACAGAAATTTATTTCTCAGTTTTGGAGATTGGGAAGTCCTAGATCAAAGCACTGGCAGGTTTGGTGTCTGGTGAGGGCCAACTTCCTGGTTCATAGACAGCCATGTTTTCACTGTCTTCACGTGGGGGTCGGGGTGAGAGATCTCTCTGGGGTCTCTTTTATAAGGGCACTAATCTCATTAGAGTCCAAAGGACCTAATCACCTCCCAAAAGCCCCACCTCCAAATATCATCACTTTAGAGAATAGGATTTAACATATGAATTGGGGGGGGACATAAATGTTCAGTCTATTGCACTCTTTAAGGAAGAAGATTCAGGATTTCTTTTGGAGTGTACCCTTAATTGTGGCTAAAGATGGCTCTACCATTGAGACCTGCTTTCTTTCTTTTTAACTATCTAGGTATGTCTGATCCTTGTTTCCTCCACACCCTGGATTTCATCAGGGACCAATCTAAAAAGTTAGGGTTCCCTGGAAACTGCCCTCCTACTTAGAATCTGGTATGTTATTGCTGGTATTATTACTTACTGCTGGTGTTGTGCCTTAGGCCAGGTGCCGTATGCCAGGTGCCGTATCATTCATTTTCTGCCAGAGAAAGAAATGGAAGTTGTGTTACGACAAGAACGTAGAATAGAAATATGTATTTCTCTAAAGATAGAGTGCCGCACTATGGGGATAGCTTTGAGAGTCCAAAGGAGGTCTGGATTAGGGAGAGAAAATTTCAGAGAGAAATGGTCAGAGCCCATGTCACTGTTGATAACTAGGATAGAATAGTGACCGGTTTGTGCTGCACATATCCCATGGCTACGATTGTGTCACACACTACTTTAAAACTCTTGGTAGCTCACTACTGCCCAGAAAATAAGGCTGCCTAGTGGGAATAATATTATGGGAAAAGCACAAGCCTTGGTATCAAGAAATATTAGGTCAGGGACAAATTAGAAATTATAAATAAGTATATGATCTATCGGTCTATGTATACAATAGAATTTATATTGACTTAGCTGATAGATATTATAGCATATAAGAGGAAAGTACAATATATGCTTGGGGAATGGAGATTGGAGCTATAAACTTTCCTCTATGAAAAGGGGTACAAAGTAAGTACCATGACAGTTTTTAAATTTCATTTTGATTCTTCAACACAGAAGAGCAAGAAAAAAACAGCCCCCTTTAGCTATCTTAAGCAAATAAGGTGTTGACAGCAGGAAGTCACAGGAAATGATCTCCCTATTTATTCAGTCCTTCTCAAGTATCCCTGGGTCTGAAGCTTACAGGCAGAGAATTGTTCATATTCAGGACAGGGCCAGAAGTGCAAATCTTATTTTTTTTTTTTTTTTTGAGACAGAGTCTAACTCTGTTGCCTGGGCCAGAGTGCTGTGACATCAGCCTAGCTCACAGCAACCTCAAACTCCTGGGCTCAAGTGATCCTTCTGCTTCAGCTTCCCAAGGAGCTGGGACTACAGGCGCATGCCACTACACCCAGCTAATTTTTTCTATTTTCAGTAGAGATGGGGTCTCACTCTCACTCAGGCTGGTCTCGAACGCCTGACTTCAAGCTATCCTCCCCAGCCAGCCTCCCAGAGTGCTAGGATTACAGGCATGAGCCACCGTGCCCAGCACAGAAGTGCAAATCTCTGTTGGAAAAGGTTCTCGCCAGCCGTTTTCCTGTTTGTTTTGTTTCCTCAAATGCTTTCTCTATGAATGGACCACAATTTGCCCTCTTCCTGCATTCCAGGTTTGATTCAGGAACAGGTGAGTCAAATTGAAGAAGCAGCAGCTACAACAATCACCAAATCAACCAAACCAGATTCTTCCAGCCATGAAGAATATGCCCACCTCACTCAGATTATCCACTAAGCCTTATTCTTTTCTTCCCGTGGTTTTAGATTTCCACAGCTCCCTTCCACCTCAGCCTATAGACCTTTCCAAGTGGGCGTGGATCTGTATCTTCACTGAGACTCCCACAAGTGAAATGTAAGATCTCCAGTTGCAGAGGCCAGAGGCCTCAGTTACTGGTTTGTACTCTGATACCTATGGCACAGCCCAAATCACAGAACTGTTTTCCTGATGAGTATGAGATATCCATCTATTTCCTCTACTGTCTATGTCAGTAACTGTCGCTCACAGATCCAGATAGGAGGACAGAGTTCCTCTCTCAGCACCTTTGCTGTTCCAGCTGTAGTTTTATCTCCTGGGCAAACCTGGTCCAACATGACAAGCTAAGATTTTGAACCCTACAGTCTAAGAGACAGCCTGGAATTCCAGATCATCTCCAATATGGTAGACTTTGGATTTCTCTGATCAAAGTACTAATAAATACTGGATTATATAGAAAATAAGTCTTCTTGCCCCTTGTACATTAAAAAAAAAAACCATATGAGGAAAACTGCAAAACTATGGTGAAAGAAATCAAAAAACTAAATAAATTGAAAGATATTCCATGTCATGGATAGGAAGACTCAAAATAGCCAAGATATCAGTTCTTCCCAACATGTTCTATAGATTCAATGTAGTCCCAATCAAAATCCCAGCAAAGGTAGGTGCATTGGCTCACACCTCTAATCCCAGAACTTTGGGAGGCCAAGACAGGAGGATCACTTGAGGCCAGGAGTTCAAAACCAGCCTGGACAACATAGTGAGACCTTGTCTCAAAAAAATAAAAAATAAAAATAAATTCCATCAAGTTACTTTGTAAACATCAGCAAATTGATTCTAAAGTTTATATGAAGAGGCAGAAGATTCAGAATAGTCAATACAATATTAAACGAGAAGAAGAAAGTTGGAGGACTGACACTCTTCAACTTTAAGACTTACTATAAAGCTACATTAATCAAGACAGTGTGGTATTGGTGAAAGTATAGACAAATAGATCAATGGAACAGAATAGAGAGTCCCAAAATAGACCCATATAAATATAGGCAACAGATCTTTGACAAAAGAGCAAGGCAATACAATGGAAAAAAGATAGTCTTTTCAAAAAATGGTGGTGGAACAACTGGACATCCACATATAAAAAAATGAATCTAGACACAGATCTTACGTCCTTCACAAATATTAACTCAAAATTGATTATAGACCTAAATGTAAATATATAAAACCATACACCTCTTAAAAGATAACACAGGAGAAAAATCTGGGTGACCTTGGGTTTGGCAGTGATTTTTTTTTTTTTAAATAGAGGTAGGGTCTAGGGTGGATGCAGTGGCTCATGCCTGTAATCCTAGCACTTTGGGAGGCCGAGATGGGAGGATCACTTGAGGCCAAGAGTTCAAGACCAGCCTGAGAAACATAGCAAGACCCCCATCTCTGTAGAAAAATTAGCCGGGTATGGTAGCACACGCCCATAGTCCCAGCTACTCATAAGGCTGAGGCAG